TGTCGTGGCATCAGAACTCGACCAACAACGTGATACAACAATTTGACATCATCGCCGTGCGGCCCATGACCGAACGGTTCTTCCTGGCTGCCTGCGCCACACTCGAGGTCGACGTCATCTCGCTTGATCTCCAGGAGTACGCCTTCCCCTCCACAACAGGCGTGTGTGCTAGTGTGTCATTCAAATTAATCGCTGTAACTACCATGACGCAGGCGACTGCCTTTCAAGCTCAAGTTTCAGACCATAGGCCAGGCGCTGCAGCGTGGCATCCACTTCGAGATCACCCTCGCTCAGCCCCTGCGAGGTATTACTTTTATTTATTTATTTTTTATTTCAGCAAACACTCACATGTCCGTACAACGACCAGATCAAGGCGGCCGAAAACATTGGCTGAGCGGTACCCTCGATCTACTGCGTGCCACCAAAGGTTCGACTGTTGTGTGTTTGTTGCACCAAACATTTCACGTTCAACGTTGAGTATCACTTACAGCGGTTCGCAGGAAGGAACATTATCTTCACGTCCGACGCCCTCTACCCGATCCACATGCGTGCGCCCCACGACCTCGTCAACCTGTACGCCACTCTTTCTTATGTCAGCACACAACCTCCAGGGAACAAAGCTGATGTGTGCCCATGCGCGCGGTATCACGCAGGGCTGCGCTGCTGGGTCTCACTTCTGCCGAGGGAAGGGCGGCCATGACCCAGCACACCAACTCCGTGTTGCTGCATGGAGGTACCGTTCTCCCGTGCCCCTGTGCGTTTATGCTCATGCTCATGCTCATGCTCATGCTCATCATGGTCTCTCTCTGGTGGACACTATGAACGGGGACAGAGACACGGAAGTTGCAGAAGGCGGTGCTTGCGGCAGCACCCGCCTCCACGGCTGCCGCGTGGCAGCTGCCGGCCCAGCCCGCCGGGTCCGAAAAGCCTGTGAAAGGCGCCAAGCGAAAGCGAAGCACGAGTACCATTCGTTCCCCCCCCCCCGCCCGTGGGTCCATCGCCTACTTATCGGTCAATCAATCGTGATTGCAGGCGGCCAAGACGTGGAGGAGGCCACACTGGCCAGCACCCAAAGCTCGAGCGACAATCCCTGATGATCGTCAAACGTTTTGTTGGTGTGCGTCGATTGGGCCGTGACGACGAAGTCTTTGCGCCACCAATAAGGACCGGTCGACAGTATGTTCCACCCATGAGGAATGCTGACACAAAGAAAAAAGAGGAGGCTTTCGTTTTTCCTTCGTCTTCGTTCTTTTTTCCTGCGCCCAACACAACAGCACACAACATGAAGACAGCGACGGTGTGGGCACTCCTGCTCGCGCTCGTGATTGCCGTGGCAGCACTGACCAGCGGAGCCTCGGCCGCCCGCAACAATGCGCGCACTGCGAAGAGGGACGCGTTCGTGGCGCGCCTCATGGCCAGCCTCACCCTCAAGGAGAAAGTTGGCCAAATGACTCAGGTATTACTTTTACTTATATGTTTTTTTAAATCTATTTTTCACTGGCGCACCTTTGGTTGAAGTGTTCATCCATATTTATTTGCTCCTCTGTCTGGGTTCAAGTACTAATATTACAATCATTCATTTTATTGTGGGAGTGCACAGCTGGACATCGGGATGCTGCAGGAGCACGACAGCCAGGGCAACCTGCTGGCGTCGCTCAACAAGACGGCTCTCATCTACGGCATCAAGAATTACGGCATCGGCTCTTACCTCAACACGTACGTCCTCTACTCCCCGCAACAACACACATGTGGCGCAACATGTCTCCGGCGAAAACAGGAAACAGAAACATCCCATTCGCTTTCTCGTTCCATAATCCTCCCTTCGGACTTATAAACTTCTGCGTGTCGGGGTCCCGGCCGGTGGCTGTGCGGCTGTTCACTTTTGTGTGCAGGCCCTTCTCTGGTACCGCGCCGGTGCCGAACCGGAACGGCAAGCCGGAGATCGCGTGGAACGTGACGCAGTGGATCGAGTTCGTCAACACGGTGCAGGAGACGGCGCTCCAGTACGGCAACTCGTCGGTGCCCATCATCTACGGCCTCGACTCGGTGCACGGTGCGCACCACTCACTCCCCTCCTGCATGTCCGCTCCTCGTCCACATTCGCTGACACTTCCGCGCACACGATCATGTGTTATGTCGTGTTGTGTTGTGCAATCACCACGAAAGGGGCCAACTATGTGCGCGGCGCTGTCATGTTCCCGCACAACATTGGCCTGGCGGCTGCGTGGGAGCCCCACCTGGTCTTCCTCGGCGCCAAGGTCACCGCCAAGGACACCAGGTATCATCAGCCTCATCATCCATCACACCAACGAATCCTGCGCCAAAGCCTCACTCCACCCACCCCCCAACGCAACGCAATGGCGCGGCGTGCACCACCAGGACGGCGGGCATCCCGTGGGCCTTCACGCCAGTTCTCGGCCTGGGCATTCAGCCGCTCTGGCCTCGCTTCTACGAAACCGTACGCCCCCCTCCCCCCTTTCCAGCCCACTCGTGAGTCTGCTCACTGTTAAACACGGCACGAAACCCCAACTCGGCGGGCGTACACACCAGTTCGGCGAGGATCCCTATCTGATCTCGACCTACGGCCGCGCTGCCGTCGAGGGCTACATGGGCAAGACCTTCTCCAGCGTACGTCCCATGCCACCCCACCTCCCCACCTCCCCAATTGCAACGCCAATGGCCGAAGCCGGCTGTAGCGCCGACTCATCATTTGGGGTCGCGTGTAGGACGATCTCGAGACTTCGGTGTGGTGCCGCAAGCCCCGGCAGGAGGACGACGAGGAGGACGAGGAAAACGCCGCTGCGGGATGGTCCACCACCGTGTCCGTCTCTCTGAAGCACTACCTGGGCTACCCCAACCCCATCTCCGGCAAGGACAGGACCGAAGCTTGGGTGCGCCCCTCCCCCTACTCGTCGTTGTCGTCGTCAATTCGTGTCAGTGCTTACTCACACGCGTGTTCGCCCGACTCCAGATCCCCGACAGGATGCTGCTGCAGTACTTCGCCCCGTCGTTCATTGCGGCGGTCCAGGCCGGTGCGCAGAACGTGATGATCAACAGGTACCTACCCCCACACCTACCCGCCACCCCGCAGGAAGGAATGCGAGGAAGCTCGCAGCGCAGCAGGAGAGATTGCTGACCTCAGGGATGACGCAGCGGTTCGATCAACGGCATTCCGGTGCACACCTCCGAGCAGTACCTCAACCACTATCTCAAGGAGAGCTGGGGCTTCGAGGGCTTTGCCGTGACGGACTGGAACGACATCGAGAAGCTGGTCTACTTCCACCACGTCGCCGCCGACAACAAGGAGGTACCACCAAACGCAACGCCTGATGAACTCCTTGTGTCGCCGCACCAGTGGCCTCACCTTGTTCTCCCCCAACCAACGCAGGCCATCAGGATGGCCCTCCTGGCCGGCGTCGACATGAGCATGGTCCCTTCGGTAAGAAAAAGAATAAGAATTCAAAGAATGATCCTACAAATTCTAATCATCGTAATATTGATTCTCTTGGCTTGGCGATAGGACTATTCGTTCTCGGACGACCTGTTCGCGCTGGCGCAGGAGGACGCGTCGATCAGGGCCATCGTGGACAAGTCCACGGAGCGCATTCTCAAGATCAAGTACGACCTGGGTCTGTTCGCCAACCCCTACGCCTCCAACCTCTCCAACCCCAACATCGCCACCGTACGCCTTCCTCTTTTTTTTGAAGGTGATTTATCTGCTCACACATTTGCTGAATGTAATGATACATACGGACATATCAATCCAAATTTAATGGGTTTTTCGATCCTCGTGTATGTGTGTGTGTGTGCAGGTGGGCAGCAAGAGCGATCGTCTCATGTCCGAGAATGTGGTGCGGGAGTCGCTCACGCTGCTCAGGAACCAGGACAACGCCCTTCCTCTCTCCGCCGCGGTGCGTTCACACCGTCTCACATCACCATCGTGTCTGCCCCCGAACAAGTAACTCACTCTTTAACTCCGAGCGCAGGCGCAGAAGATTCTGGTGGTCGGTCCCGCTGCTGACTCGCTGCCCAACCAGTGCGGCGGTTGGTCCATCCATTGGCAGGTAATGATGCGTGCGTGTGCGTGTGCGGCGAAACGCTTGTCGTGTGCCATCAGCATTTCGTTGTGACAGTTGGCTTACTTGACGGTCGATGCTCGCAATGGCGTTCGATCAATCCAGGGTTCGGTGAGCCCGAGCGAGTTCGACCCGTATCCGGACACGTCGACCATCTACCAGGGCATCAAGTCGCTCGCGCCCTCCGGCTCCAACGTCCAGCTCATCGGTGCGCCGCGTTCCCGCCTTCTCTACGCCTACGCTTGCTGGTCCGTGATCACTGACTGCGACCCACAGCGGCGTGCGACTTTGACAAGTGCGACAGCTCCAACCTGAGGGAGATCGAGGCCATCATCGCGGCGTCGGTACGATCGTGCAACCCCATTTGGTCGCCTGGAGACTGCCTCATCAAATCAAAAGCAGCAGCGGCCAACTGACTGGCTCGCTCACAGCAGGCCGATGTGGTGGTCTTGGCCGTCGGCGAAGGTCCCGAAGCTGAGGTCCTCGGTGACATCGACGATCTCACCATCTCGCCGTCGCAGATCGAGCTCATCAAGACCGTGCACGGCGTATGTCTCGGACCCCAACCACCCCACAAATGCTCGACCACCCTTCTCCCAATGCGGCTGATTTACTGTTGCTGTGTTGTTTCCAATGTGGCCAGGCCATCGCCAAGAGCGGCAGGAAGGTCAAGACCGTGATGGTGCTGGTGGAGGCTCGGCCGCGCATCATCCCCGAAGAACTCATCAACGCCACCTCGGCCGTCATCAACGCCTACCTCCCCGGACCCTGTACGCCGTTGCGCTTTACTGTTCCCTCCACACTATTCTCTTTTCGATCAGTCATTCTACTCCGAGTGTGACTTACCGTACGGACATCACCAAACAGACGCGGGCACGCCGCTGGCCGAGGTGCTGTTCGGGAAGGCCAACCCGTCGGGCAAGCTGCCCTTCACCTACCCGCGCACGACGGGCGACATCCACGTGCCCTACTGGCACTGGTACTCGGACGTCACCACTCCGCTCTTCCCCTTCGGCTTCGGCCTCAGCTACACCAGTACGGCTAGCCCCTCTCGCGCTTCGATACTGAACACGCTAACTGACCATATTTGTGTGCGTTGCGTGTCGTGGGTCGTGCGCAGTGTTCGCTTATGACAATCTGCGCGTGTCGGACACGAACCTGGCGCCGGGCAAGCCGGTGACGATCTCGGTTCGGGTGACCAACAGCGGGAAGGTGCCCGGGAGGGAGGTGGTGCAGCTCTACGTGAGCGATGTCTACGCCACCGTCGCCCCCTCCGTCAAGGTTCCCTACCCCTACCCCCACAGACACATCCACCAGCATTCACCGTGTGCTGGTACTAATTTGTTTTGCTTTACAGCTGCTGAAGAGGTACGTGAAGACCAGGAGCCTCGCGCCGGGTCAGTCGTACGTGGCGACCTTCACGCTGGCCACGCACGACCTGGCGTTTTACAACCGCGAGCAGCAGTTCGTGGCCGAGGCCGGCCTCTTCAACATTCAGGTACGCCCCCCCCCGCGCTATTGTTTTCGTGTTGGTGCTTGGGACTGACGTCGTTTCATTCTATTTCGTTCTTTTCCCCGGCAGGTGGGCACTCTGACCTCCTCGTTCACCCTCACCGGCAAGAGCCTCATCTGCCCCGCCATCTAAGTTGCAAGTCCGCGCGTTACACTTTGCGAATTGGGGTGCAACGCGAGTCATTTTGTCCGCGGCGGAAAAGAGAAGGCTTTCGTTTTTCCTTCGTCTTCGCTCTTTTTTTCCCATGTTTCAAATCCCAGACACACAACAGCACACAACATGAAGACAGCGACGGTGTGGGCACTCCTGCTCGCGCTCGTGATTGCCGTGGCAGCACTGACCAGCGGAGCCTCGGCCGCCCGCAACAATGCGCGCACTGCGAAGAGGGACGCGTTCGTGGCGCGCCTCATGGCCAGCCTCACCCTCAAGGAGAAAGTTGGCCAAATGACTCAGGTATGACGGTTACATATTACTGTATATATCTTTATTTATTTACTTAATTATTTCATAAATTAAACTTTCATTTTACCGGCTTCTGTGGGAGTGCACAGCTGGACATCGGGATGCTGCAGGAGCACGACAGCCGGGGCAACCTGCTGGCGTCGCTCAACAAGACGGCTCTCATCTACGGCATCAAGAATTACGGCATCGGCTCTTACCTCAACACGTACGTTCTCTGGCCTGAGCTCCTCCCCGCCACACCCGCACCGTCCCACGTATGACGACCGTGTGCGGCTATTCGCTGGTGCAGGCCCTTCACTGGCTCGGCGCCGGTGTGGGACCGGAACGGCAAGCCGGAGATCGGCTGGAACGTGACGCAGTGGATCGAGTTCGTCAACACGGTGCAGGAGACGGCGCTCCAGTACGGCAACTCGTCGGTGCCCATCATCTACGGCCTCGACTCGGTGCACGGTGCGCACCACTCACTCCCCTCCTACCAGTTCCCTCTCGGTAGATTCGCTAATGTCAGCTTCCCCGTGTTGTGTTGTGCAATCATCGCAAAAGGGGCCAACTATGTGCGCGGTGCTGTCATGTTCCCGCACAACATTGGCCTGGCGGCTGCGTGGGAGCCCCACCTGGTCTACCTCGGCGCCAAGGTCACTGCCAAAGACACCAGGTATCATCGTCACCACCAACGAATCTCCTCTTTCTGTGCACATCGCTCTGCGCCAAAGCCTCACTCCACCCCACCCCACCCCACCCAACGCAACGCAATGGCGCGGCGGCGCACCACCAGGACGGCGGGCATCCCGTGGGCCTTCACGCCGGTTCTCGGCCTGGGCATTCAGCCGCTCTGGCCTCGCTTCTACGAAACCGTACGCCCCCCCCCTTCCAGCCCACTCGTGAATCTGACACCCAACTCGGCGGGCGTACACAACAGTTCGGCGAGGATCCCTATCTGATCTCGACCTACGGCCGCGCTGCCGTCGAGGGCTACATGGGCAAAACCTTCTCCAGCGTACGCCACCTCACCTCCCCCCCAACGATCGCTGAATCTCCCTCCGCTTGCTTGGCCCAGCGACATGCTCTGCGCGACTGCCCGTGACTCATCTGGGGAGGTTTTGCTGGTGCGGCGCTGTAGGGCGATCTCGAGACTGTGGTGTGGTGCCGCAAGCCCCAGCGTGGGGACAACGACGACGAAGACTACCACACGGAGGAGTCGGGATGGTCCACTACGGTGTCCGTCTCTCTGAAGCACTACCTGGGCTACCCCAACCCCATCTCCGGCAAAGACAGGACCGAAGCCTGGGTAAGCCTGGGTCCCCTCCCCCCCTGCGTCGTTAATCGCCAATCAATCGGCCTCACTCATCGTTGGCGTTCTCGACATTGCAGATCCCCGACAGGATGCTGCTTCAGTACTTCGCCCCGTCGTTCATTGCGGCAGTCCAGGCCGGTGCGCAGAACGTGATGATCAACAGGTACACTCACCCACACCCGCCCACCCACGCATTCGCCGCCGCCGCCGCCGCCACGCTTGATGACTGACCTCAGGGATGACGCAGCGGTTCGATCAACGGCATTCCGGTGCACACCTCCGAGCAGTACCTCAACCACTATCTCAAGGAGAGCTGGGGCTTCGAGGGCTTTGCCGTGACGGACTGGAACGACATCGAGAAGCTGGTCTACTTCCACCACGTCGCCGCCGACAACAAGGAGGTACCACTGAACCGAACACCAAACATAACACAACGCAACACATCACATGTTGTCATCACACCGGTTTGCACAGTGGCCTCACCTTGTTCTCCCCCAACCAATGCAGGCCATCAGGATGGCTCTCTTGGCCGGCGTCGACATGAGCATGGTCCCTTCGGTATGTGCATACAGCCCGTTCTATTGGGTGGGCCGCGGGTGGATATGACTAACTAAATGGATTGATTTGGGTGGTCATGGCCTTGGCTTGGGTATAGGACTATTCGTTCTCGGACGACCTGTTCGCGCTGGTGCAGGAGGACGCGTCGATCAGGGCCATCGTGGACAAGTCCACGGAGCGCATTCTCAAGATCAAGTACGACCTGGGTCTGTTCACCAACCCCTACGCCTCCAACCTCTCCAACCCCAACATCGCCACCGTACGCCTTCATACCTACCCCTCCTTACTTTTGTTGTGGTTTCTCATTTCTTTATTTTTTAACCCTCTTGTGTGGGGCAGGTGGGCAGCAAGAGCGATCGTCTCATGTCCGAGAATGTGGTGCGGGAGTCGCTCACGCTGCTCAGGAACCAGGACAACGCCCTTCCTCTCTCCGCCGTGGTGCGTTCACACCGCCTCACATCACCATATCTGGCCACACAGGGCAATGTCCGCCCCTCCGAGCAGCCGTTAACTCTTTCAAATTTCAACTCCGAGCGCAGGCGCAGAAGATTCTGGTGGTCGGTCCCGCTGCTGACTCGCTGCCCAACCAGTGCGGCGGCTGGTCCATCCATTGGGGGGTACAGTGTGTGTGTGTCGTGTGTGTGTGTGTGTGTGTGTGTGTGTGTGTGTGTGATCCCCATCTCCTTGATTATGACGTTCAATCGACTCAGGGTGCGGCCAGCCCGAGCGATTTCGACGCATATCCGGACACGTCAACCATCTACCAGGGCATCCAGTCGCTCGCGCCATCCGGCTCCAATGTCCAGCTCATTGGTGCGCCGCGTTCCCGCCCTCTCTACCCCCGCCACCCCCCACTCGGCCGCTCCGGCTCGCTGACCTGGTCGCGTGATCGCAGCGGCGTGCGACTTTGACAAGTGCGACAGCTCCAACCTGAGGGAGATCGAGGCCATCATCGCGGCGTCGGTACGGTCGGACACACACACGTTCGCTTGGTCGGTCTCGTGATCAGATGTCAGCTGACGGACTGGCTGACTGGCTCACGACGGCGACAGGTTGATGTGGTGGTCCTGGCCGTCGGCGAAGCTCCCGAATCCGAGTCTGAAGGCGACATCAACGACCTCACCATCTCGCCGTCGCAGATCGAGCTCATCAAGACCGTGCACGGCGTACGCCTCGGACCCCAACCAACCCACAAATGCTCAACGCCTCGACAATCGACCTTCTCACAGTGCGACTGTTGTTGTTCCAGGCCATCGCCAAGAGCGGCAAGAAGGTCAAGACCGTGATGGTGCTGGTGGAGGCTCGGCCGCGCATCATCCCCGAAGAACTCATCAACGCCACCTCGGCCGTCATCAACGCCTACCTCCCCGGACCCTGTACGCCGTTGCGCCACGAGTGGTTTTTACCTCCGAAAAGCGGCGTCGCACTGTCTTTTTTTAACTCCGAGCCTTACGCGGACATCAGACGCGGGCACGCCGCTGGCCGAGGTGCTGTTTGGCAAGGCCAACCCGTCGGGCAAGCTGCCCTTCACCTACCCGCGCACGACGGGCGACATTCACGTGCCCTACTGGCACTGGTACTCGGACGTCACCACTCCGCTCTTCCCCTTCGGCTTCGGTCTCAGCTACACCAGTACGACCGTCTCCCCCTGCCCATCTGCGCTTCCTCAACCCAACACCCCCTGATCGTGTGTCGTGTGTGTCGTGTGTGTCGTGTGCGTTGCGTGGCGTGTCGTGCGCAGCGTTCGCTTATGACAATCTGCGCGTGTCGGACACGAACCTGGCACCGGGCAAGCCGGTGACGATCTCGGTTCGGGTGACCAACAGCGGGAAGGTGCCCGGGAGGGAGGTGGTGCAGCTCTACGTGAGCGATGTCTACGCCACCGTCGCCCCCTCCGTCAAGGTCCCCTCCCCCCATTTGCCTGCTCTGCCATTGGGGCTCTGACACTAACTTTACTACTGGCATTCCACACACACACAGCTGCTGAAGAGGTACGTGAAGACCAGGAGCCTCGCGCCGGGTCAGTCGTACGTGGCGACCTTCACGCTGGCCACGCACGATCTGGCGTTTTACAACCGCGAGCAGCAGTTCGTGGCCGAGGCCGGCCTCTTCAACATTCAGGTACGCCCCCCCCCCGCGCTGCATCTCCCCTTTCGCCGCCGTTTCATTCTTTTTCGTTCTTTTCCCCCCCCCACAGGTGGGCACTCTGACCTCTTCGTTCACCCTCACCGGCAAGAGCCTCATCTGCCCCGCTATCTAAGTTTTATGTCCGAGCGTTGGTGGTTCCTTATTCAACGACGTTGCCCATTGTTGGCTGTGGGACAAGAGTACTCTTGAAGGCCGCCAGCTGGGCAACGAGCGCCTCTTTGGCGTCCTGGGCGTGCGCCACGAAGTAGTCGAGCTCTTCGTCGGCCAGGTCCTTGGCGTCCGGCTCCCGAGGCAGAAACCACGTCACGCACGCAAAACAGGCCCACGAGATGCTGACGGTTGGTGCGCGTGTGCGGTCGTGCGGTCGTGCGTGTGCGTGTGCGTGTGCGTGTGCGTGTGCGGTGAATGCGACATGTCAGCTGTGAGGGAAAACTAGCAAACGATGATTGACTGAGGTCGCGGTGGACGTTACTGGTCTTGGACCTTGATGAGGGCCTTCCTGTGATCGTAGCCGCTGGGCCTGCTCACGCCAAGCGCGGCCATAGCTTCATGCAGCGCGGCCAATGTTGGCTCTTCATCTTCGATCGATTCTTCAACTGTGCGGCGCCGACACAGCCGGTCAGCGAACCCACCTCTCGCGTGCGTCACACACCGCACGCACCTCCTCGCAATTCGTCGTCATAGACGGAGCACTTGGACTTCTCCCAGTCGAGCACGGCCACGATCTTACGTCGTTCGTGGTCGACCAGCAGGTTGGAGAAGTTGAGGTCATTGTGGCACAGCCCGAATTCCTCCTCTTCGCAGCTGCTCGCGAGGGCTCGATAGCGCGCCAGCACCGTGTCCATCCACTCGGGCACCAGCTCCCGCAGTTCGTGCACCAGCTCCTGTCGCGAGGCCAGCGTGTCGCCGATCATCTCCATGGCCCAGCCTGCATGTCGTCGCGAGTCATTAGGCGCCGGTGAAGCGTCTCAGACACGAACCATCATCAGCGGAGCGTACGGAGGTGGTGTTCGACGCTGTCGGCGAAGCTGGTGAAGGGGCCGATCAGGGGTCCGTCCTGCACGAGCTCCACGAGCTCCATCTCACGGTTGAAGCCCCCCATTCCCCTCTGCCCTTCCTCACTGCGGTTTTAGCCATCGGCTCAAGAACGAGGCGTCAAAGGGAGCACACACGCACGTTGGGCAGAAAGGCGGATATGCGACGCAGCTCGGCCATGAACTGGACCAACTGCACCATGTAGTCTCTCTTGGCCTCCGCATCAAGTGTGGGCCACAGCTGAGGTTTCACATGCGAGGCTGGTCAATAGATGATGTGATGGTAATGATGACGGTGCAGTCGGCGTACGTCGTCCAGGTTCTGGCCAGGGGCCTTCTCCATGAGCACGAACTCGGTGCCCAGCGGCGACTGCGCGGCGTCGCTGGCGTAGGCGATCACCCGGGGCACCGGAAGCACGTCGGGTCGGCCGTGCGCCCGCACGAACTCCATCACCGCGACCTCGTGTTCGGTCTTTCTGCCGCGCCAGAACGGATGCGGGTTCGATACCCGGAGCACCAGCTCCACCGCCTCAGCTTCTTCTTCTTTTTCTTCTCCGGGGGGTGGTGCGGCTTGGACGAAGAAGATGGGGTTGATGACGCCCAGGCTGTCGGCGAAGTGGGTGAGCTTGCGGCAGACCAGACCCAGCGGAGCCAAGACGCGCCCCACGGCCTCGGGCGTCACCCTGGCCATCGTCGCCTTCAGCTCCTCCAACTGCGCCGACAGCGAAGTCTCCTTCATATCTCTTTTTTCTGTTACCTTCTCTACTTGTTGAGCTCCCACCCTTGTTTTAGTACTACAACGAGCTGAGAAAAACCCAGGAAGACATGCCCAGAAGGCCAAAGAGATTCTTCTTCATCATCTTCTTCTTTTGACTTGGTGAGACTGCAGTCATTGAATGTCAACCGAAACTCTCTTCTTTCTTCTCTCTTCCAGTCGTCGTCATCAAGAGGCGGTGGTGGCGAGGAAGATGGAGAGCTGACCGTCTTCGGCGCCGGCGAGGATGAAGTTGGGCGGCACGAAGTGGAGCGAGGTGACAGTGGCGAGGCACTCGAAGCGCTGCACGACGCGGAGCGAGGGCAGGCGGCGCAGGAACACCTTCTTGCCCTCGCCGCTCACCAGCCACTCCTCCTCGCCCTCGCCCTCGCCGCCGCCCGACGCCCGGCCGCCGCCGCGGAGGCCCACCGACGCCAGGTAGAGGGGCGACGAGTAGGGCGGGATGACGGCCATGGCGCCGAGCGGGGCCTCGGTCTGGATCTCGGAGAGGAGCACACCGTTGACGGAGTGGACGGAGATGTAGGAGGGGAAGGCCGAGTGGCTCACGACGTGGCCCGAGAGCGGCGCGATGGCGACCAGGTGCACGCTCTTGCCCTTGAGTCCGAACGCCTGCAGCAGCCGGCCCTTGCGGAGCTGGTGGATGATCACCTTCCCGTCCTTCCCGCCCGAGACCACAATGCCTGCGAAAGCGAAAGCGAAAGCGTTGAGTGACAGACCACAGGGCTAGCAGAGGGCGGGCGCAGGACATATACCGTATTCGGTGGAGATGGCCACGCACGTGACACCGTCGTCGTGGCCACGCAGCATGCACCGGGGGCGGAACAGCGCCGTTTGCTCGTCTGCAAGCGCGTGTCGAGTCAGCCAAAAGAAGGAAAGAGAAGAGAAGAGGTTCAAGGTAAGGCACCTTGGCCGTTGGCCTCGGTCTCCGTCCCGCCGCTGGCCACGAATTCGGTGGCGGTGCCGCTGGTCTTGAGGCTCTCGAACCGCTCGAACAGGTCAAAGTCCTCGTCGTCCGGCCCGGCCGGGGCATTCAACGACGACGAATCGACCGACGATGTCGACGACGACGACGAGGCCGACGAGGCCGTATTTACAATGAAGTCGGGCAGTGGGAGGGACGAGAGGAAGGTCGGGGCGGTGGCCGCAGGCGCGATGGTGGGCGGCGGGGCCGAGGGCGGAATGATCGAGTCGGGCGTGGGCACGACGGGAGGCGGCGCCGGCAGGGCGGGCGACAGGATCTCCTTCAGCGACCACACGAACACCATCGTGTCCAGCGAGCCCGTCACAAACGTGTCTACACCGCGCATCATCCGTCAATCATCATCAACCATCATCAACCATCATCAACCATCATCATCAATCAATATCATGGGGGGAAGTGTTACCATCGTCAGAGGCGAGCGCGATGGAGGTGACGACGTCCTTGTGATAGAAGATGTTGCGCAGGATACGCTGGCCCTGGAGGAGGATGCAGTTGAAACTGCCGGCCAGCTCCCAGCCGGACGAGGCCAGGAGGATCTTGCCGTCGCCCATGATGGCAAAGTAGTTGGAGAGGATGTTGGTGTAGGACGGGAAGAGATTGTAGTAGTTGCTCCGCTTCTCGCGCGACGTGCCGACGGTGCTGTCCCTGTGCCACGTGAACGGCAGCGACAGGTTGCCCTTCTTGCTCCGCTGGGTCGGGTTGAAGTAGTTCCACGAGAACAGTCCGTCACTGTGGCAATCACCAATCAAACCGTCAGAACGGTCCTACACGTGTGTGTGTTGTGTGTGTTGTGTGTGTTGTGTGTGTTGTGTGTGTTGTGTGTGTTGTGTGTGTGTGTGTGTGTGTGTGCGCGCGCGCCCTCAAATCGTGTGTTATACCTGTGCATGAGGGCCACGTTGTTGCTGGAGCAGGGGGTGATGAAGATGATCGGCGACGAGCACTTCGTCTGGATCGAGTAGAAGTTGGAGGCCTTCCCCCTGCCCACGTCGCCCGACCCCGAGACTTCGGCCTCCTTGGTCTCCCGGGGCGACGCGTCCACCTCGGCCCTCTTCCTCCGCTGCGGGTGCGGCTTGGTGAAGAGTTGACTCGACGTCTGCGTGTGTCGAAATGTAACTCTTAGATCAAAGCCAGCATTGCCGCGTTGCGTGCGGTGTGCTGCGCGTACCTGACCAAAGTTCTTGATTTGTTCTTCGATAGACGATCGCTCTACTGGGTCTTTGACGGCATCCAGGTCCACAGCGCCCTGCCGCAATGACGGTCAGTACTGATAACACACACACACACACACACACACACACACACACAAGCGAAGAGCGGGCCGTTGCAATACCTCGTAGGTGAGGTGGAAGAACACGTTGTTGGCCTCGACCGAGGCGGGGCCGCGTTGCTTGTACCCGAAAATGAGATCTATCCATTCGTGCAAGTGCTCCGACACGTAGTCACTCTCTGTGTGTGCGCGCCGCGCATGCATGAGCAAGGCCTTACGGAAAAGAGAGCGTGCGGTGGCAATTGCGGGAGACGAGGGGGAAAGGGTAGGTGGGGTACCCAAGGCCTCGCGGTGCAGGGCGATGAACCGCTCGGGCGAGTCCTCTGCCCAGGGCGGAAGCTGGACGTCGCGCAGCGGAGTGTCGTCGGCCTTGTTGCCAAAGTTGACTCCGTTCACATCGCGGATGAGCTCCGGCATGTAGAACAGCTCCGGGATCTAGATACAGCACAAAGTAATGAGTCACACAACACAAGGCCCACACGACACGACGCACGACACACGACACACGACACGGGTCTCGTACCAGTTCCTTGACATCGGAGGGGTTGGTGAGGCAGTTGGCCCACGTTCGAGGAAGCGAATGGAACCTGGTCAGGTGACAAAAGTCGGTGATCTCTCAGGGAAACAAAAACTCACGCGAGCTTCGTGTCGTGTCGGGCGGCGGCGGCGGCGAACGTACATTCGGTCGGGGTGGTCGAACTTGCCGCCTTGCATCGAGAGGAAATAGGAGGTGAAGGGCTCTAGTCGGACGAGGAAGTAAAGCACCACCGACGCCGACGAGTAGTGCGACCCGTACAAGAACCTACAGAGAAAGCCGACATTTAGTCGCGTGCCGTCTTTCGCGTGTGTCGTTTTTGAGGTGGACCTCTCACGTACTTGGGAATGACGGGGTCCTCGAAGAAGCGGTATCGGTCCTTGAAGTTCTGCAGCCGTTGCGGGTCCAGCGCTCCCTGCGCAGAAAGAAGAAAAAGAACAAGAAGTTAGAACAGTCAACATAACGCGAAGGCCGTGCACTCTGCATAGGCTGGGCTGAGTTTGACGGTACCACTGGCTTGGAGAGATCGCGGTAGATACTGGCATCGTCCAAGTTGAGCGTGCTCGAAGTGTAGTCTAGGCCAGACAAACAAATCAGCCAACATTACAGAAGCTGAGGAATGCAGATAATATAAGAATTCTAAGAAATAAGAAATATTAAATTCATGAAATGATAAAATACGGCCACGCACCTTTGAAGATCCACGGGAACACGGGGTACTGGCCGAGGTCGTTGTAGGTGCGGCCGGCCAGAGCATTGAGTCGCATGAGGTAGTCGAAGTTGCTGATCTCGCGATTGACCCACGAGCGCGTGAGGCCGCCCCTCTCTAGCAACTTGCCCTCCTTGGGCTTGTTGAGCGCCTGCTGTTGCTTGAGCGCCGGCGGAGTTACCGAAAGCGAACGGAGCTTGGAAAACATCGCGTCTCGTTTGCCTGGCGGTCGAGTAGTCAATTCGAGCGTTAGCAATTGATCGTGCGTGCGTGTGTGCGTGTGCGGTGTGCGGTGTGTGCGGTATATGCGTGCGGTACTTTTGCTCTCAAACTTGAAGAGGTAGGATGTGTTGTCGGCGAAGAAGAGCTCCATCGCGCAGTCCCGTAGGAGATACCGCCGACCGTACATGCCCACCAGCTCGCTGAGCGGCCACTCGTACCGCTTCTTGCGCTTCTCGAGCAGTTCGTTGGTCCAACGCAGACGGGCCTGGCCGGGCGGCGCGAGCGGAGGCGAGGCCGGGAAGATGGACGGCACCGCCGAGCCGGTGGGCGTGAGCGCCGGGGCCGCTGCGCTCGCCAACATCGGCTTCTGATCGTACGCCTGTTTCCACGAGAAAACCAAGTTTCACAACGTTAAGGTGGCTGCAGCGGTGGCGGCAGCTGGGCAGGTGGCGCGTCGGTAAGGTACCGCAGTGGGGATGAAGTAGAGGTGCGACGAGGTGAACTGGAGGATGCCCTTGGTGAGGATGAGCGGGGTGACCATGGCGCTGGTGGCGTCGCGGTGGACCACCTTGCCGCCCTTCATGGACCACTCCTTCTCCAGCTGCACGTAACGGCGCAGCTTGATGCCGCTGGGCTCCTGCTTGGCGGCCTCGGCGGCGGCGCTGCTGCTGCTGGCGTTCACCTCGTCGGCGGGCTGTTGGCTCTGTCGCGAGCCCGCGGCGGAATCGCGGGCGCAGTCGCCGTAGTCGGCGACGTTGAAGTTGCGGCGCAGGATCTTGCGGATGCGGAAGGGTCCCTCGCGCTTGTCCAGCTTCCACTGGATCGGCAGCGGGGAGATGGGGGACACGTCCAGCCCCTGCAGCGCCACCTCGTCCTCGTGCAGTATGTCGCGCAGCATCTTCTCATTGTTCCACAGGAGGGGGCTCACTGCACAATGACAGACAAAACAAACCAAAAAGGTGAGCTGTGGTGGGCGTGGTGGGCGTGGTGGGCGTGGTGGGCGTGGTGGGCGTGGTGGGTGTGTCGTACCGGTTCGCTGCAGCCGGCCCCAGTAGTGGAAGACCTCGTTCTGGACCTTCTCCTGGATGCTGATCTGCTTCTTCTTTCGCTCTTGCTCCCGCATCAGGCAGTGGTTCAGCATTGCCTCTTGCTGCCAAGAGTGAACGAATAGAAAGAGCAAAGGGCACAACGTCAGGCAGCACACACTAGGTGACAGACCGGCGGCCACGGCACGGTGATTGGGGCGTACGTGGTCTTGGAAGGCCATCAGCGCCGCCTGCTCGCTCTTCACACGCTGCTCGATGCCTATCCGCACATAGCGCTTGTAGGCTTCGAACCGATTGCTCACACCGACGCCATACCTGATTTCCTCCTGCATGGTCGCCCGAATGGCTTTCTCTATGCGGTTGATGAGCAGCTGGCTGCGCAGGCCCGTGGGGAAGGTCGGCGGAATGTAGGGCGGCGGCGGCGTGAGAATGGGCGGCGGCGTGGACGACACGGGCGTGAAGGGCGACTGCAACGCCACCGGGGTCACGCGGCTGAGTCGCGCTGTGGCGGGCGAGAGGTTGGGCGACGACGAAGGCGAAGAAGAGGACGAGGAGGAGTTGCTGCTGAGCGGAGTCGAGAAGAGGAACATGACGTAGCGCGACAGGTACTCCTCCTCGTACTTGCGCATAAACTTCTGATGCTCGTGCGCGTCCGTCGGGTGAGGGAAGTTGAGCGGAGGCACGTCGACCTGAATGATCTCGACGCGCTGCAACTTCAACAGAATCTCTGTCGTCCATAAGAATGCCGGACAACAGTCAGTTAACATCGCACACGCGGAACACACAGGGGGGTTGCTCGTGAAAGAAACCTTTGAAGAGATCAGCCATGAGTTCCGTGCCCATGCCGCCGGATTCGTAGGACCGCTGCATGGCCTTGTAGAGGAAGGAAAGCGCGTAGAGCACCCGGTCCACACTGTCCTCGCCGCCCTTGTCCTCCGTGGGCGAGTCAGCCCTGAAACTGTTGTTATTGGGGGCGAACAAGGCCTGTGTGAGGTCCTCATACGTTCCCACACTGGCTGATAGCTCTCGCAAGCGTACCTGTCACCTCGAGCCAGCGAGGGGGTGGCAGTCGCCTTACGCAACGCGCTGGTCGCAATCGCATTGCCCGGCTTGCAGCGCTTCAGCAATTGATGGATTACCATTGAGAGTCTACCACACACACCACACACACCACACACCACACACACACACAACCTCGATTAGATTCAGAACCTTTAAATAAAGTGACTGATCAAAGGGCGAGAGCGAACCGTTTGATGCTCTTGGAGAAGGTTTGGTTGACGTCCTTCAACTCGACGTCCCACTGCTTGAACTTGCCCTCGACGTAGGCGCCGAGGGTGAGCGTGAGCCGTTTGCTCAGCAACGAGGACTCATCCTCCTCGCTCGCGTGCACAGTTTCTGCGCGTTCTGTTAGAACAATCGAACCGCCGCATTCATTGTAGGTGTATGTACCTTTGATGATGCCCCATTCGTTCCCAGCACCGATGCTTGCGATGGCGCCCGTCAGTGACGAAGAGGCGGAGGCGTGGCAGTACGTCTCGACCATCTTCTTGATGTCTTTCAACTGCTCACTTCGCAACCTTTTAAGATGCGCAGTCGCGTCGCGTCGCGTTGTTAGAATGAAGCGAGAGAAAGGCACGCAACACGCGGTTGCCAAGAGAGAAGAGGCACGCGCGTACCGGATCTTCTGTGTGTTGAGCACGACATCGGTCTCGTCGAGGGTGTAGAGGGTCAGCCGCAGGGCCAACCGCGAGAGCTGCTCCTCCATTCTGCGCACGGTGGAGGCCGACAGGTAGGGCGGCTGGGCCGCGGGCTGCGGCGCGGGCGGAGCCGATGACGCGAAGTTGAGCGACGAGAAGAAGGACGTGGTCGGCGGCGCCGGAGGCTGGGCCGTCGCCGGGACCTCCGCGACAAAGGGGACAGAGGGCACCGACACGGGCAGGAGCAGCAGGTCGTCGATGAGGTCCAGCAGGCGCTGGGCAAAGTGAAAATCGACCCACTTCAGGTTCTCCTTCTGCTGCGGCGGCGGCGGCGCGTCCGCCGGCGTAGTGCCGGGCAACCGCTCCCTGTCCGCCACCTCCTTGCCGCGCCTCGCTTCGCTCTTCATTGCCTCCGCGTGCGGCGCAGACGGCCGTCGTTCGAGCGACGGCGGTCGCCGCATCAGCTTGGTGGTGATCATCGTGGTCGTGGTGGTTGTTGAGGCCGCGGTTGTGTCCTTCTTCCTCCGGAGCGTCTTGGCGCTGGGCGGCGGGTTATGGGTGGCGCTGAGGTACGGGTCGGACCCCACGCCGCGCTCCTCCATCGTGGAGTGGTAGATCGGCAGCAGGAAGTGCGACGAGACGCGGTCGAGGTTGGCCCGATTTCGCTCCCGGTCGCGCTCCCTCGCCTGCTCGCGCTCCCTGGCCTCCGCCTGGTCGTCCCGCTCCCTGCTGGCCTTGGCTCCCTGAGCCTCGAGCAGGTCCACGACGCGCTCCCTCTCCTTCTCCTTGCTCTCCTTGCTGGCGGGCTCATCGCTCGCGCGGGCCATCAGGTCGAAGGCGTTGCTGGCCGACTTGGCGCGCGGAGTGACCCGCGCCCGCGGTGTCTCCGAGGCCACCGGCGGGTGGTCGCGCGGGGTGCCGGGCTGCGGCTGCTGGGTACCCTGCGCCTCGGCGATCAGTGCTGGAGTCGGCGGTCGCTCCCGCGTGCGCGGGCTGGCGCGGGGCGAGGCGTCCTTCTTGGGCGGCGGCGAGAAGATGTCATCGGGCGGCGGGAGCTGGAAGAGGCCCTCCTCGGCGAAGCAGATCCACTTGACCACGTTCTCCCACAGCCACTCGGCCCTAATCTTGGCGGACCCGGACGGCGACGGCGGCGGAGACGCGATCTGGTACGAGGCGGTGGCGGTGGTGGCGGTGGAGCTGCTGTTGTTCTTGAGGTTCATGACATGAGGCGAGTTGATGTTGTGGTGCAGCTGAGACTGCGTCTGGAGGATCCGCCGCAGTTTGGGGTCGGAGGTCAGCTTCTGCAGGAGAGCGCTGTTGACCTGTCGCACCAGTTGGTGCCCTGGGAACGGCTGCCCAACGAGAAGAAGTAGAAGAAGAAGAGAGTCAGCATATTATGAAGTCACATACGCTCACTCCCAACGTATGTCGTGCCACGTACCCCGATCTCCTGGAAGTGCTGCAGAATGCCCTGGAAGCGTTCAATCACCTTCCACCCTTGTTGCTGTGTGGCGGATGAGAAAGTGCGCGTTAGTGATATAGATCTGGCGACAGTTGAAGAGGAGCGAAACGAGAGCTGCGGGCGGGTATATACCAGGTAAATCGCGTGATGGAACAGCAGGGTTACAATATTCACAATGAGACTAAAAATGCTACTGTACAGTCTGTGGTTGATGACCGAGCCACGGCTGCGGGGCTTCTGCTTCTGTTGAATCCAAACAGTGCCGCGCCGTCGTTAGGGGACAAAGGCTCGTGTACGAAAAATCGCGAGGCTTTGAGTGGTGGTGCATACCGGTCGCTTGGGTACTGATGACGACGAGCTGGCGGGAGAGCTGGCATGCTCCGGGATGATGCTAGGATTCTCCGCGATGACGGCGAGGAGCCAGTGCGGCCAGTTGTCTTGCTGCAGGAACAGGTCCCTGTTCTGCTTCTCCTTGCTGAGCAGGAGGTAGAAGTCCTCCAGAGCCTTCTGTTGCAGGGAACTGTTGTACGAGGCGCCGAGGAGCTCGAAGATGGCCGGTAGGATCTGCGGGTTCCTGAACTGGTGCTGAAATTGGACCTCCTGGCGCTGCTTCTTCATATCCCGGACGCTTTCGTCGGCCGGCGAGTGGACGGGGTTGACGTTGATGCTCTTGGGCGAGACCCGCTCCAGCAGGATCTCCATGAGCGCATAGTAGGTGGCCTTGGAGAAGTTGAAGTTCTGGAGGTAGTACTTGATAATCGCCGACAGCCGGCTGTAGCCCTCGAAGTTGTCCGAGCCGTGCGACTGATCGACGTCCTTCTTGACGCTGCCGCTGGACTCCCGCTTGTGCGTGTAAATAGTCGTCGTGGCAAAGGACAACATCTTTTGTTTCCTATTGTCAGAAATAAAAAGATAAGTTTTAGGTCCGAGAATCGCTCTAAGTCCGAGCCGGGTGCGAGTGTGTGTGCGTGCGGATAGGCGAGACGTACTGAGCTGGCGTGGCAATCTGCAGCATGCGTGCTACAATCTTGAGAGCCCAGATGCGTTGATGTTCGTCCGGGCGCTGTAGCACCGAAAGGAACGGAATGAGGCCTCCACACTCAAAGATATGTGAAGCCACGTTCTGCACTGTGGGGCTCGTGCTACGGGGGGGGGGGTGATGTGAGCAAAAGTGGTCTAGAGGGTGGTGGGTGCTAGTTCGGCTCGGCGCGCCGCACCTGGTGGAGAACTTGTTGAGCATGGCGATGATGAACTTGAGCACATCGGCTCCTTGGTCGACCCTTTTGAGGGGCTGCGATCGGTGAAGCGACTCCAGCAGGTTCTTCGTCTCTTGGAAGGTGAGGCCATCGACAGCCATCAGCCCTGCATGTACATGCCATATTCACGCAAAAGAGGGAATTGAGTATTGGGGGGGGGGCGAGACAGAAACGGACAAGGCGTCGACGGACTCACCAATGAGTTGAAGCAGGGCGATCCGGTTCTGTGCGAAATCGAGGTCGCACAGGGCATCCACGATGCGCTGGACTCCGATAACCTTGCGGAAGTACTGCGGGGCAGCCTTGACCCGCGCGGTGATCTGGGAGAGCAGCTTCTCTTGGACCGAGGAGGCCGTCTGCGACCACATGCTGAAGTTGAGGTACGTGTAGGTGAAGAACTCCCGGAAATGCGACTTGTCTGTGGAGTCCAAACAAACAACAACAGCGATGTCGTGTGAATGTACTGCTGGCTGGGCGATGACGAGTGGTATGAAACACAAAAGCTGATAAGGGTCGTACCTGAATCGTAGAGCACGGTGGCAAGCGTGTCGAGCGAGTTCAAGGCCTGTACGTCTAGAGCGGTGGGGTGCATCTTCTGGAGGAGAAAACCGAAGATCTGCCAGCCGCCGACGCTGGGCATGTCGGAGAAGAGGTCGGCGTAGTTCTGGAGCAGGTTGGATATGAGCGAGATGAGCAGGCCCGCGGGCGAGGGCGGCGCGGAGGGCAGGGCGGCGCCGGAGGATGCCGAGGCTCCGTCGTCGCCTCGCTTTTGCTCCTTCTCCTGTTCATCTTCGTCCTCGAAGAACTTGATCTCCTCCGAGTCGTCCGTGGCGGCGTCGTCATCCTGTACAGCGAGCGGCTGGCGGACGAGAAGGAAGAGAGGGAGAAAAGTCTGCAGAAGAAAGAAGAAAGAAGAAGAGAACGAATGTTAGCAGAGTGCGAAATGAGTGCGAGCGGTATACAGGAATGCCACATGGTACCTTGATGCCGCCCAAGCAGTAGAGGGAGTCCTTGAGATTGGACGAGTTGATGACGGCGACGCCCTGGAGGGCAGACGCCATTCTGTCTGCGGCTCGTGTCGATGTCTCCACGCAAACGTTGCCTTCCATCGCCTGACGATCGATGCAAGGGTTACCTACTGTACAACAACTCTTACGACTCGAGGAGATAGTGGAAATACTCACTACCTTGGGGTCGTAGGCAAAGAATATTTTCACGTATCGTTTGTTGCCTATGGAAAACACGTTGCCCTTGTGGCCGATCTCTATCGACGTACTGATAAATGAAGGGTTGATCAGCCCAAGGAACTGTTAGCGAACCGGGGGGGGGGTAATTCGCAACGTTGGAGCAAAAGGCGCGCAGGTACTCTGATTTCTTCTTGGGGAGGAAGTTGGGGCCGAGTGCGTGCAGCGCCTGGACGTCGGTGGCGGTGACCGCCTCGGAGAAGAAGAAGACCTTGCCCATCTGGCCGCAGAAGGGGTGACTTCGCTCGCCCACCTCCGTGTGTTCGATGTGGTTGGCCATCCACATGGACACAGGAGCCTATGCGTGACGGTGCATGTTAGTACCTCTGGGGACCACTATGGGCAGAACCCTGATGAAGAAGAAGAAGTGGCCGGTACGTCGATCTTGGGGTAGATGAGATACTGTTGCTCCACCAGCTGACCATTGACGTAGAGCAAGACCTCGCTGCGCCGCAAGAAGTGGTAGATGTGGGCCACTGCAACGAAGTACCTGCACGGGTCCCGCCCGGGTGGTGAGAAGGCAATGCATTGGTTGTGAATGGGCGCTGGGTGGGGGCGAACAAAGCTGTGTGGGACGCACCATCGCTCCTTCTTGAAGCGGTAATTGAACTTGATCCAGGCATGCTTGTTTTTGCCTTGCCGCGAGAGAACGACCAGATACTGCGACACGAAGAACAGTTCCATGCCGCGACCGTCGTCGCAGGCGAAACTAAGGGAGGGAAGGAAGGGAGAGTGAGCTTACTAAGTATAGTCCATAGCCGAGCCCATGCGGACAGATCACGGGGTCCTGCGACGTGTGTGTGCACGAACCTGAATAGATGTGGCCTGATCGTGGCTTGCTCGGGCGGAAGGCTTCTCCGGCCCCTATTGAGGGGGAGTACGTCTTTGTTGGATGATATGCTCAGCCACGCGCAAAACGAGTAACCGTCGTTCAGAGGCCACACGGACTTCCACGTCGGAATCATGATGCTGCAGACCCGATTGGGTTGAAGATTGTCAGCACCCCAGAGAGGGGGAGAGCCAATGTAAAAGCTTCCTGTCTGTGAGAAAGAAGATGTATGGTACCCCGACTTGTTCTCTCGTCCATTGAAGTCCCAGAAACAGGAGGGCCATCTTCGTTCCTGCTTCTTGACAATTCTCTGCAGAGTGTCGACCAGGGAGCACCACACTTGCCCAGGCACCTTCATGTGTGCGAAACACGGTGTGTGAGTGGTGAGCGATGTTTATACACATTAGTGGCGGTCAGGCCTGAATAGTACCTGCACGGGCGGGTAGAGCTCTTGCAGCAGCTGCTTGCCCTCGGGTGAGTCGTCGGACGCTGCGCCCGAGTCCTC